TGTATGTATGTATGTATGTATGTATGTGTGTATGTGTGTATGTCTGTCTGTCTGTCTGTCTGTCTGTCTGTCTGTCTGTATGTATGTATGTATGTACGTACGTATGTATATTTGTAGGTATGTATGTATGTAGACATGTATGTCTGCATGTATGTATGCATGTATACACGTACGTGCATACATACACGTGTGTAATATTTATATATATGTATGTATGTACGTATGCATGTATGCATGTATGTATGCATGCGCATGTGTGTATATACGTTTATGCATGCGCATGTATGCATGTATGTATGCATGCGCATGTATGCATGTATGTATGCATGTATGTATGCATGCGCATGTATGCATGTATGTATGCATGTACGTTTAAATCGGGCCTGCCCCCCAACAGGGGAATTTCGACGAAGACGATACCCCAAACATACTCAACAAATAATCCAAACAATGTCTGTTTGAGTTATTTTTGGGGTAGTTTTTTTTATTGTTCGTCGAAAATCTCCCTGTGGGGGGACACGCCCGACATACATGTACGTATGTATGTATGTTTGTCGGTATGAATGTGTGTATGTATGCATGCATGCATGCATGCGTGCATGCGTGCATGCATGCATGCATGCATGTATGTATGCATGCATGCATGTATGTATGTATGTATGTATGTATGTGTGTGCGTGTATTTATGCATGGTTGTGTATCTATGTGTGTATGTATGTATGTATGTATGTATGTATGTGTGTGTGTGTATGTATGTATGTATGTATGTATGTATGTATGTATGTATGTATGTATGTATGTATGTATGTATGTATGTATGTATGTATGTATTAATGTAATGTAATGTAATGTAATGTATTGTAATGTAATGTAATGTAATGCAATGTAAGGTAATGTAATGTAATGTAAGGTATGTATATATGTATGTATGTATGTATGTATGTATGTATGTATGTACGTATGTATGTATGTATGTATGTATGTATGTATGTATGTATGCGTGTGTGTACGTATGCATGTGTGTGTGCATGCATGCATGCAGGCAGACAGGCAGGTATGTATGTCTGTATGTATGTAGGTACGTATGTATGTGCATGTATGTATGTATGGATGGATGGATGGATGTATGTGCATGTATGTATGCATGTATGTTTGTATGAATGTATTCATGTGCATAGTTTGTATGTCGGTATATGCACACACGCATTATGTAAACCGGGTGAGGGCCCAGAACCACAACCTCTAGTTTGCATGGGGGCCCGGGGGGTGAAACCGAGTCCTAACGAACCAATCTGTCGCGAACGTGATCAGAATCGGGCGAATGGGGTCTTTGGAAATGGGGCCGCGAACCATGCGCGCAATAGTTCATGCAATAGTTGGAGGCGGCCACATACATCGTACGGTGCCTCGTGCTATAGTCGGGGTGCAATAGTTTGCTCGCGCGAACGCAAACGTTGATTTCTGTGAAGCAATAGTTTGTGTTCTCGCTTATTTGTGAGCAATCGTTTGCAATAGTTTGCCTGCCACGATGCAAGAGTTGCGTCTGGTCATGCAATATGACGCTATAGTTAGGCCTGCGGGCGCAATACTTCGCAACAGTTGCGCGCAATAGTTGCGCGCAATAGTTCCACGCAGCGAACTCCTGCAGCTGTGATTTGCAGCCCCACTTCCAAATACCCCATTTCCCCGGAACATAGTGGACTTTCGCGGGCGCGATGACGCGCCAGAAGCTCTCGTCAGATGACGAGCAGAAGGGCCGGGCCTGCGCGCTGAGGTCCATGGCCAGAGATGGTATTGACGATGGCGAGGGGCCTTGCCAGAACCGAATCGGCAACTACGCCAAACATCAGCAGTTGGAAGCCGATGGGTTGAATCGCAGGAAAGCTGCCACTGCGGTCATTGCCGTGGCCGAAGCTCCAACGCCACCGTTGCGATGTAATCTCAGTTGCCAGATCGCCTCGAAGACAAGTTGGCATCGCGCCGCATTGCGCGGTTCCTGTGCTAAACCACCGATACAGTAGAGCGTGCTCGCGTCAACGGCGACTCTGGAGGATTCCGTGATTGGGCTTGGCGGCGATTTCAACATCGCGGTTATCCACATGAGCGACATGATGGCTAAAAGCAAGGTGGGCCCGCTGGGAATCTACGATTTTTCTTTCGGCTTGTTCAAGTGATCACGGATGACGACGTGGAGGTTGTGGTGGGTGATGTTAACGTACTCATGATTGAGATGGCGCCAGCGCGCCGCAGTCGCGGCCAGATGAACGAAGCCGCAGCTTACTTCCCGTGGGCGGCACCCCAGGTGCAAACGCCCGCGCGGACAGCTGCGCGACCTTATTCGCGAGCGCTCCTGGGGAGTACACGCTGCTGTGCGGCCCAGGCGATCTGCGCGCCGACGACGGTGGCGCCTCGAGCGACGAGCGCGACAAAGAGACGTGCGAGGCCTCCTGGTTGCCCGACACCCCAGGTTCGGCAGCGGGCCCTTGTTTTCTTGCGTTGTCGCACACGCCGACGAAGAGCGTGAATCTGGTGAAGGTCCAGATTTGCCTGGAACCGTCGGTTGAGGCGGGGGCCGCCAAGGAGAGCGCGTCGCAGCGGCGGTCCGAGCTGCATGTCTTACATTCGGAGGGCAGAAGGAGATGGACAAACACATACTGCAAGGTTACACCCAAGAACACGTCGGAGTCGCACATGCCTCTCCGCGCGCGCGTCGAGGGAGCCGGCGCTCGGAGCGAGCTAGCGATCCGGAGCTTGAAGAATTCATGGCCCAGGCCCTTGCACCGACCAGGCGGGCGCGCGCGCCCACCTCGCGGGGCCGAGAAAGCGAGACGGACAGGCGCCGGGCGCAGCGAAGACGGCGAGCGTCGACAGGCATGCAGCGGGCGAGAGGAGCGAGAACACCGCGGGCCCGAGGCAGCAGGCCCAGGCAGCAGCGAGGCAGCCCGGGCCCAGGCAGCGCCGAGCCAGCCCGTGGGGCAGCCGAGCGCAGCCCCGTCAGCTGCCTCGGCCGTAGCCCCGCCTGACGTCCTTCCTTCAAGCCCACTGGAAGCGTCCATGACATGTGCCGCAGTCTTGGATATCTCACGCAGGGCCACGGGCTGAGGGAACTGATGACAGAGCCGAGGCAGGACGACTCGGGCGCCAAAGAGAGCAGGCGAGGGCCGGAAGTGGGGGGACCGCTGCCGGAAGTGGGAGAGTGGCGGGTGGATGTACATGTGAAGGCAGGAGGGGGAAATAAACCGCAGTGGCGGCCTGTCTCTCGCAAGAGCTTCGCGCGGAACGCAAGCTCGCGGGCTCGCGCAGCAAACATAAGGAAGGTTTGCCCCCTCTTGGGCTCATTCCCCTCTCTTGCTAATGATCCCTCTCTCCTCCTCCTCACCCTCTTCCTCCTCCCCCCTCTTATTCATGTGTTTGTTCTCTCTCTCTCGTTGTTTTTTTGTATTTCCCTCCTTATCTTTCTCTTTCTCTTTCTCTTTCTCTCTCTCTTTGGCTGTCTCTTGTTGTTGTTCGTTTGTTGTTGTTTTTGTGTGTGTTTTTCCCATCTCTCTCTCTCTCTCTCTCTCTCCTTACGTGCCTGCGTGGTTTCTTGTTGTCGGGTTCTCTGTCAGTCTGTCAGCCTCTCTCCTTCTCTTTCTCTCTCTGTTTCGCTATCTCTTTCTCTTTCTGCTTATTCCCTCTCTCTATGTCTCTGCTTATGTTTTCCACACTTCCTTTTTGTTTTCTTTCTCTCTCTCTCTCTCTTTCTCTATCTCTCTTTTTTTTTCTCTCTCTCTCTCTCTCTCTCTCTCTCTCCTGATATCGAATGTATTCTCTTGCACAGCTGTGCTCTAGAGCTCGGGCATCTTTATTTTCGTGTCGTGTCGTTCGTCCCCCTGCCCTCCCCCCTGCCCCGCCCCGCCCAGGCTCCCCAGGGCAGCACCCCTGGGCCTCGGACACCTTTATTTTCGTGTCGTGTCGTGTCGTTCGTCCCCCTGCCCTCCCCCCTGCCCCGCCCCGCCCAGGCTCCCCAGGGCAGCCCCCCTGGGCCTCGGACATCTTTATTTTTTTTCGTGTCGTGTCGTGTCGTTCGTCCCCCTCCCCCCCCCGCCCAGGCTCCCCAGGGCACCAGGGCAGCCCCCCTGAGCCTCGGACACCTTTATTTTCGTGTCGTGTCGTGTCGTCGTTCGTCCCCCTGCCCCCCCCCCTCTGCCCCCCCCCGCCCAGGCTTCCCAGGGCAGCCCCCCTGAGCCTCGGACACCTTTGTGCAAGAGCCAGGGCACGCGTGCCACTTGTTTCTGTGTTCGATTTCTCTCTCTCTCTCTCTCTCTCTCTCCCCTGTCTCCCACCCCTCTCTCTCATCGCAGCGCTATGCAAGTCCGAACGGGGCGAACCTGCAAGCTTTTAGTGAAGGGGTCCTGGACGAGCCTGCAACCTTCCTATGACAGCTGTCAAGGGCCTTCAAATGTAGCGTCCTAGTGTCTTTAATCAACATGGACCGTTCGATGATACAGATGTGTGCATCCGTATATGTATATAGAGAAAGAAGACGCAACATATACAACAATCCAAGTATGTGTGTGAATACATATATATATAGCAATAGTAATATAGATGCCGGGAGATAGAGACACAAGAGAGAGAGAGAGAGACAGCCAAACAACACAACAATACACATATGAGGAGGATGGCGGCGAGGAAGAGAATTAGGGGGAGGATGAGCGATGAAGAGGGAGGAGGGAAAAGGAGGGAGGAAGGAGGACGACGAAGAGGTAACTGGCCCCAACTCCCACGCATTCTGAGTTTCCTAATCCGTGTGCCCCAGTTCCCTCGACCCCATTCCGGCCAGTGGAAGAAGAAATGGCAACAAAAGCCACTGCTGAAAAGCACGACGTCGGAGGTCGTATGAAGAGGAGGAGGAGGAGGAGGAGGAGGAGGAGGAGGAGGTGGAGGAGGAGGAGGAGGAGGAGGAGGAGGAGGAGGTGGGCTTTCATCCGAGCGCAAGGGACACGAGCGGCCGAGGCGGCGGCATTCTTCGGTTCGAGGCCTTGCGCTCTGCCGCGTCGCGGGGCCCGCCACCCATGCGGGCAGCGGTGGGGCAGCGCTCGACTGGCGCGGGCCGGGATGTTCGACTTCGACGAACTGGAGAAGGCCGTCCCTCCGGAGGCTCAGGGGCATCGTTGGGGCGGGATGGGCTCAGAGGCGGACGCAGTGACCCCCAATGGCCCACTCATCGCCGATAGGGGCCCGATAGCCAATACCGCCCAGGAGCGTTCGGCGTTCGGTTTTCGCGATCGGGGGCCTGTTGCTGATCTATCGGCGATGTGTCGCCGACTCCAGCTCGATGTCCCCCGCTCTGAGCCAGTCCCCCCTTATCGTTGCCCTCCCGAGGCGTACATCGTTTACGGCGCTGGCACCCCAGACGCGAACGGCGTGTACGCCAGCACCGGCGTGGAGGCGCACGGGACCGCTATCTTCAGGCACGTCGCGGTGAAGAGCGGGCTGCTCGCGAGGGAGCGTTGCGGCGACCGCCTCGGGTGGCTCCTAGGAGCAACTCGTGAGAGCCTTGCGTTACCGTGGAATTTCGCCTTTAAAAAGTGCATGAGCGTGCGCTGGCGCCTGGTAGCCGATGAAGGAGCGCAGATCTGGCTTCGGTGTAGCGTTGGTTAGCGTCGGTCCGCAAGAGCGCCCCCCCCCCCCCCCCCCCGGCGGGCCTCGCCGCCCGGCCGGAGGGCGAGCACACGCCGCGCTGGCGCGGCAGAGAGTGCTACAGCTCGCGCGACGGCCGATCCAGGGGGAGGAGGAGGAGGAGGAGGAGGAGGAGGAGGAGGAGGAGGAGGAGGAGGAGGAGGAGGAGGAGGAGGAGGAGGAGCAGGAGCAGGAGGAGGAGGAGCAGGAGGAGGAGCAGGAGGCTCCCGCGAGTTGCCACCGAAGGTGGCTCGTGGGCGCCGGCCGGCGCCCGCTGTACGGAGTGCGCACGGAGGCCGAGCGCTGCCCGCAGCGGGGCTGGCGCACCTTCCGGGGCGACGCGCCCGCGCCCGCCGTCGAGGGCTTCCCCTCGCTCGAGGAGGCCTGCCTGCGGCTGGCGCAGGTGCGGCAGGAGGAGGAAACGGGTTACCGATCCCGCAGTGCCTTATGATTCTCGGGCTGGGCGAAAGGGGCTGGATTGGGAAAGGGGGGGTTACAAAATTTGCTGCATGCAGCTGGTTTCGGCTTCACCAAGGGGCCCATTCCTCGATACATTACATAGCCGCCTCCGGCGCCGGGAGGCGCCGGGAAAATCAGCTACGTGAGCTGATTCTCAAACCCCCCCTTTGCTATCCCCCCCTTTCGCCCGACCCGATATTCAATGCCCTCACCGCACCGCTGCCCTTGACTCGTATTCGCCTTTTTGGGCCTCGGGAGCACTCGTCGCCACCGCCGGGTTCGCCTCGACGTGCTGGCCAGAACGCACCCCCGGACAGGTCCAGGGAGTTGCGGTGCCGGCACCCTCTTGCAACCCGAAGGTGTGGCAGGAGGAGGGGGAGCTGCTCGAGAGCCAGGGCAGCATGCGGCGCTCCGCCGAGGTGTACAGGAGCGCGCTGGGCCTGCCCGCGCTGCCGCGCCCCAGGGCCGCCGAGTTGCATGCCCTGCGCGCCAGGGCCTTCCGGCAGCTGGCCGAGGGCAAGACGGCAGCGGCTGCTCGGGGGCCCCCAAACGGGGCGGTGACCACACCGTGAGTCAGTGGGGATTTGGGGTGACCGCACGGTTTCTGGGCTCGCGTCGTTCTTCGAAAACGTCTCGGGCGGCTGCGGCCGCCAGGGTCCCCCAACTGTGCGGTGACGGGCCGGGCGGTGAGGCTTTGGGGATTCCGAGGCCACCGCAGGTTCTGTCACCGCACCTGCTTGGGTCCCCCCAAGGCTGCGCCCGGGGCCGACCTTGAGCGGGACCCGCTCCAGGGCCTGGCGGCGGAGCGGGCCATCGAAGAGGCAGAGAAGGCGCTGAAGCTGGACGCCAAATGCTTTCTCGCCGGCTGGGAGGGCGCTGCCGCCGCGAGGCACATCTCGGGGGGACGTGCGGTTCGAGTTCGCTGGAACTTGGGTTCGCCTGCGCTCTTTGACGGGCCCGTCCCAGATGTTGACGGTCCAGCTCTCGTGCGATGTTTGCAGCGGGAGGTCGCGTCACCCCTCTGACTGGGTCTCGTCGTTTTCAGAAAGCCCAGTCAGGCCAGCCCGAGTCCCCGAACCCAAGTCGGCAGCGTGCCCAGGGGGGAAACGAGAGGGGACAGGCCTCCTCAGAAGGCGGCCGTGCTTCTCAGAAGCCCCTTGGCCTTCTGAGAAGCCGCCCCCTGGTCTCCGGAGAGGGCTCAGAAGCAACGCCCCGGCAGGCGCGAGGGCTTCCGAGAAGCCCCGCCGCCTTTGAGAAGGGCCTGCCCCAGACAGGCGACGTCCTGCTTGTTTCAGGACGGCGTCCCTGGACGTCCCGACCCGCTCCCCGGGACCCGTTGTTCGTCGTGAGTCGTTCTTCGACGGTCCCGAGGCCCGGCGAGGGCCCCCCGGGGCCGAAAGGATAGCCAGAGACCTCCCGCCGTGAAGTTTTGAAGTGTTCACAGCGCGAGGGGGGGTCTCGGGGGCGTCGCTCCCCCCCCCCCCGGCGGCTCACCGCCGGCCGAGTCCGCCGACGCCTCCCCGAGCCGTCGGCTGGTGGAGCAAGGGGCGCGCCCTGGCGAGGCAGGCCTCCGAGGCCACGCCCCCGGGCCCGGCGCACCGGGCGCAGCGCGAGGCCGCGGGCGCGCTCTTCCTGCGGCTGGCCGAGGATCGGCGTGCACAGCCGGGGCGCCGAAGAGCGAGAGCAGCGGCGAAGCTCCTTCTTCCCCCTCTCCTGCACCTTCTCCTGCTGCTCCTCCTCCTCCTCCTCCTCCTCCTCCCTCTCCTGCTCTTGTTCTTGCTCCTCCTCCTCCTCCTCCTCCTCCTCCTCCTCCTCCTCTTCCTCCTGTTCCTCTTCCTCCTCCTCCTGTTCCTCCTCCTCCTCCTCCTCTCGCCCGCGGGCCCACCAGGGAATGTCCTAAGAGCTTTTTTGTTAGGGGTGGTGGTTTGCACGGCGTGTTCTCAGAGCAGTGCTGGCTGGGGCCGTCTTGTTTTGACAACACATCGGGCTTATGCTCTGAGGCCATTGTTTTTGTTCTTAGAACATTGTGCGGTTCGAAGAACATGTCGTGGCAGGCCTAGAGGATTGCCGGGACGGTCGGTTCCTGCTCAAAAAGATCCCTAAGGACTTGTCGACTTTTCGCAAATGCAGATGCATCGAGGTGCATCCAGGTACATCGAGATACATCCGTGTAAATCCAGGTCAATCCAGAGATCTCCAGGGAAAGTCGGAGCAATTCGCGGCCGCTCCAGCGCGAGTCGAAGGACGGCAGAAGTCGTTAAGCCTTTAACGAGAAGACGGGATCCTTTTCGTTCGGGCGGGGCTCAATGTTCCTTAGTTGTCTTACTGTTTGCCTCAGGCTTTCCTCGGTTTTCCGGTGGGATATCGAAGCTTCACTTCTGGACAAAAAAGGGCCCTCGTGCCCCAATTTCAGGTTCCTCAGGTCAACGGCCCGACTGCACCCGCAGGAGTGGCCCTTCGCCAGAGTGACCTGTGCTGCGGGCTTCCTGGGGCCCCCCGATCGCCGAAGGCGATGCGACAGCAGCGGCCTGCGCGCTGGGGCTCGGCCCCCTCGCGGCCCCCCCTCCTGAGGCCGCGCAGCAAGGGCCACCTCTTGCCCGGGGTCGCTCGTGCGTGCGGCCGAGAGGATCGAGGGAAGAAGCACGGGGACCCTGGCCAAGAGCTGGGTACAGTGGGGGCCCATGCCAAGAAACACCCTGCTTGCCTCCAGGGTGCCCTGGGGTTCTGTGGTTTCGATGGCTTTGCGATGGAAAGCGCGAGGCGCCCACACCAAAAATCAGTGGACGCCGTGGAGTCTCAGGGTTGGGTTTCTTGGCGAAGGTTTCTCGTGGACTGACCTCCACTGTAGGAGATCGGTTACATAATTCATGCCTCTCGACTTGAAAGGTGCGTCGGATCTACGAGACATAATGTAGAATGCTTGCTGCACCTACGGATATGACACGTTGCTGTATGCGTAGGCTCCAACAATGAATCAGTTCTGGGGGTGCATCAATTCTGTGGTTGATTTCCTACTCGATCGATGTCGCGGGGTCTTGTCGGTGCCGATCTTGGTCATGGTCCACGACCAAGATTCAGAGGAGGGAAAGGCACCGATATTGCTACCGCTGGCTCGGTCTCGCTTTTGGGGGCCTCCTGGCAGGCCCTCGTCGCCACCGCTAGGTTCGCCTCAAACTGCTGGTCAGAACGCGTCCCGGGAGAGGTCTGGGGTAGCGGTGTCGGTAAAGGTTGGTTTCCCCAATGATGTCGCGGGATTTTGTCGATGCCGCTCCTTGTCATGGTCCATGACGGTCGTCGCCGATTCGCGACGGGGTGGTCCAGGAGTCGACGCTGGCTGAGACCGACGCGGACCAAGATCGGCACGATGCCTCCGCTCTCAGTCTCGGCCATGGTCCCCACTCTTTCCCCCCCCAGAGGAGGAGCAGCGGGAGAAGGCGGCGAGGCTCCTGGAGGTCCAGCAGGCGAAGCTGCAGCGCAGGCCGGCGGCCGACCCCGCGGAGCGGCGGTGGGCCGCGGCGGTCGCGGCGCAGCTCAACGAGGCCCTCAAGGTTGCGGGCCCCAAGAATATATGCCACCACCACCCCCATTCCCCCTCCCCCCTCTCCTCTCCTCCCTCACCCTTCTTTCCTGGGAGACGGATGGGGTTAGGGAGGTGGTGGTGGTGGTGTATATGTTCTGGCCCCGTCAAGGTCGAGGACTTCCGGAGGCCGCACCACCAGCTCTGGAAGCTGGTGAGCCCGAGGAAGAAAAGCTTGCACGCACATAAACCTCTGGAGCTCCGCGCGGACTCCTTGGATCGGCGCGGGGTCCCCCTGACTGCGCCTCTTGCGCCGCCCCTGGCGCGCGCTCCGCGCGTCGGGGAGGGGGCGTCCGCGCCGATGCAAGAGATCCGCGCGGAGCTGCGAACGTTTATGTCCGTGCCGTTTTGTCTTTCTCTGTGAGCCCCGGCCTCTCCCAGAGGGACTCGGACGCAGTCTTCGGCGAGATTCGGCTGCTGGTGTGGCAGAAGTGGAGCCCCGTGGCAGCTCAGCACGGCTACCGGACCGCCGAGGACGTGGCCGCCAGGAGGGGCATGTGCGAGCGGATCGCAGAGGTGGCCAACACGGGAGGAGCCCCGGAGGTGGCTGCTCTGGTGAGCGAGATGGAGAACCGCGTGTGCCTGGAGTGGTCCGAGGTGGCGGAGGCCACGAGCCAGGTGCGCCACGACGACACTTGGGCGTGGGCGAGGCGCCAGGACGGCAGCTGGGGCACGCCGTGGGGCGGAGGGATGTCTCGGCGACAGCCGGCGTAGCCATCGGCAGCTGCGAGCGACACGCTCGGTGTCCTGATCGGGTCAGACGGCCCCATGCCCACCTGCCCTGATGCCTTTTTTGTGGTGCTCTTGTCTCGGAGGAGGGCCCGTCGAGGTTAGGGCGGCCCTCCCAGGCGTTTTTCGCCCTTTCGGGCCCTTGTGGAGGATCCTCGCAGAGAGCCACGGCTGAATCCGCCCCGAAAAACAAAGGGTCAGGATGTACCCCTCGAGGCGCTCCCGGGACCGATTTGGAGCTGGCTTGGACTGGGCGGGAGAGCCGCCGCTGTCTCAACTGGCCCTCCTCCGATTGTCTCGCTCCTGCTGCCGTTGTTCGTCGGGTGGCCATTCAAAGGAGCGTCGATCACTCGATGGGATCGATCACTCGCTGGACGACGCAGTGGCGCAGTGCTTAGGACACCCTCACGGCCACCTCCTCTCGTACTCTGCGCGTCGCGCTGCCGCTCAATGCGCTCCAGTGTTGGGGCGACGGATAAGGGTACGTTCAGACTTCAGGGCTGCGCGGTGTTTGCACTGGCTGTCACGCCCGAAGCCAGAGGTCAAAATAGCAAATGACCAGTTCATCCTCATTTCTCGCTTTCCATGTGTTCTCGTCCTCGTTCTTCTTCCTTACCTCATCCTGGCTCCGAGTGGTTGGCCAACCTATACGACCACCCTTCGGGTGATGTGGAGGTTCGGGGGGGGGGGGGGGTAGGGGAAACCAACGTCTCATTCAATCGATCTCACAATGATCAAATTCGCGATCTCACTACAGATCTCAATATCGATTCACAATCGTTCTCTCTATCGACTTGTCAATCGCTATCACGATCGATATATCAATCGATCCCACAATCGATCTGACAATCGAACTCACTATCGATCCCACAAGCGATCTCACGAGCGCCCACAACAGATCTCACGATCGATCTCCCAATCGATCTCACATTCAGAGTCACTATCGATCCCACAACAGTTCTCACGATCGGTCTCACCATCGATCTCACAATCGAACTCACTATCGATCGCACTATCGGTGTCACAATCGTTCTCACAATCGACCTCACAATAGATCTCATTATCGATCTCACCGATCCCACATTAGATCTCACGCGCGATATCACCATGGATCTCACAACAGATCTCACTACCGATCTCACAACTGATTCCTCAGGCTTACGCCACATCCGCCGACCCCTTAAATGCGTTCGAGCAAGACATGTCTGACGCTATTGAAAGAGCAGGCGGAACTGTCGGGTGCACAGAAGAAGCACAACTCATCGGGGGAGAGGCTCTGTCGGAAATGCGCGGAGGGGCGAGAGAACGAGGTGCGACGTGACGTGCGCGGCGTGCGGAGGAGCGTTCTCGGACACGGAACATTTGCAGCAGCAGCAACAGGTGGGGCATCATCAAAATGCGACAGGAGCGGCGCGTGCAAGAGAAGACTACCAAAGTCGGAGAGGTCGTTTGGCGTCTCGGAGCTCTCGTGGGCCGTCTTGGAGGCTTTTTTGCGGGCCTTCTTGGCCCGTGTTTAGGCCCTCTTGACCCCGGAAAAGTCCCGTAATGCGCTCGTGCCGGGCCCGGGGGGGGCAAATCTCCGGTTTGAGGTTCCTAGGGGGGTTATGGGGGATCTCTGGGGAGGCATCTCGCAGGCTTCGTGGAGGTAGTTCCGAAGTTGACTGATCGCCTTTTTTGGACCTCTTGGGGCCTCTTTTGGGCCTCTCGGACTCTCTTTGGAGGTCTTTTGGGGGTCTCTTGGGACCTTTTGGGCGGCTCGTGGGGTGTCCCAGGTCCAGGTGGGAGCGGAAGGCTCGGATTTTCGGTTCAGGCTCCGCTGCTGGGGCCCCTCTAGGAGCCGTCTTGGGACTCTTTTGGGCCGATTCGGAAGCCTCTGGGGCCGTCTTGGCGCCGTTTTGGGCCGTCTTGGGCGCCTTTGGGGACCCTTTTGGGACGTCATGGGGTGGCCTTGGGGGCCTCTTAGACTGGCTGGAACTCCGTGCAGGCTGAAAAGTCGTCGATGCTAAAAATGTACGTTCCCCCATGGAAAATCAATGATTTTCGCTGCTTTGGACCTTCTTGGAGCGCCCCTTCGGGGCCTCTTGGGGCGTCTTGGAGGCCTCGTGGGCTGTCTTGAGCCCATATTGGGGAATCTTGGAGCCACCGACGGCCACGTGGAGGTCCTCTTGAGCCGTCGTGGTGCGTCCCGGGGCCATTTCGAGGCCACCGGAGGAGTCCCTGCATGCAGGATCTTCGGGAGCGGATGACCCCCCCGGGGGACCCGGGGAATTTGAACAGACCCCCCCCCCCCTCCAAATCGACCAGACCAGGCTCCAGGGGGAGGGGTTTGGGGAGGGGGAAGATCTCACACGCCGATGAACCCCACTGGGTCGGCGGATCTCACTATCGATCCCAATATCGATCTCACGATTACTGTCAATATCACAACAAATCTCACTATCGATCTCACAATCGATCGCACGATCGAGGCGAAAACCGACTCACTATCAATCGCACGATCGGTCTCACAATCGATCTCACAATCGATCTCAGGCAGGGGGGGACGCGGGGGGCTTCCCTTAGGCGTGGGTGCGGTATTGTTCGATCCCCCCTTCGTTCGATCTCCCTTGCGACGAAGACGATTCAAAGGGGGCTGGCGTGCTTCGGTTTGGGTTGGGCAGGCCTCGCGTCGACGAGCCTCTCACGCGCCGGCTGGGTCGCCGGCTGGGTCGACGGGTGGGGCACGTCCGAAAGTGACGTGCAAGAGACGCTGCCGTCGAACTCACGCCGTATTTTGAGACACTCCATGGGTATCCTCGCCACAACAAAAACTGAGGCTCGGAAGATGCGGAGTGCGGGCAGCTGCATGTTTGTGTGGGGGGAAGACTTGACGATATGCCGATGTGGTGCGGCTGGACCGTGGTGCACAGCGAGTGCACCAGAGTACTCATTAATCAAATGTGGGCGCGAAGGACCAGGAGTAGGAGGAGGAGGAGGAGGAGGATGAGGAGGATGGGGGGATGGGGAGCAGGGGGACGAGGATGAGGATGACGAAGAAGAGGAGGAGGAGACGGAACACTATCCTTGGAAGGAGGGGCAGGCGGAGTAGGAGGAGGAGGAGGAGACGGAGGAGGAGGAGAGGAACGGAATGAAGAGGATAGGGATGATGATGAGAATGACGATGGTGGTGATGGTGATGTTGATCATGATCATGATGAAGACGATGAAGAGGAGGAGGTGTATGATGAGGATGTGTGTCGAAGGACGACGGTGCTGATGCTATCGTGGTTGATGATGACTATGCAGACGCCTATGGAGATGCAGGTCAAGATGACAATGTTATTGCTGCTGCTGATGATGCCTGTGATGCTGATGTTGATGGTGATGTTGATGATGATGACGATGCCGCATCGTCACGATGCCGATGACGATGACCACAACGACGACGACGATGGTAAAGATGATGGCGGTGGTGGTGGTGTTTGTGGTGATGATGGTGACCATGATGATGCTGCTGATGATGATGATGGTATCATTGATGCTGATGACGACGACGATGACGATGAAGATGACTATGATGATGTTGCTGATGATGCTGCTGATCAGGCTGCTGATGCTGCTGATGATGGTGGTGGTGGTTGTGCTGCTGATGATAATGCTGATGCTGATGATGCTGATGGTGATAACGATGATGGTGCTGGTGATGGTGATGAGTCTGATGATGCTGATGATGCTACTGATGCTGTTGATGATGCTGTTGATGATTATGGTACTGATGATGATAATGAGGATGATGGTGGTGATTCCGATGATGATGAGGAGGCGACGACGACGTCGATGGTGTTGATGAGGATGATGATGGTCATGATGCTGATTATGCTACTGATGAGCCTGATCATGATCGTTATCATGCCGATGATGATAATGATGCTGCTGATGAGGATTATCCCAGTGCGACCCTACCTAGGAGTTGGAGCATTTAGGAACGCAACATCTACATCTACACCGACAGCTACATCTACATCTACACCTGCATCTACATCTACATCAACATCAATGCTAAGCAATGCTAATGTTATGCTATGTTATGCTATGCTGAACTATGCTATGCTATGCTAGGCTAGGCTAGGCTATGCTAGGCTATGCTAGGCTGTGCTGATGCTGCGCTGCGCTATGCTGCGCTGCGCTAAGCTAAGCTAAGGTAAACTAAGCTATGTCATGCTAAGCTAAGCTAAGCTACGCTAAGCTAAGCCAGGCTAAGATAAGCTAAGCTAAGCCAAGCTAAGCTCAGCTAAGCTAAGCTAAGCTAAGATGAGAAAAGCTAAGCTAAGCTGAGCTAAGATAAGCCAAGCTAAGCAAAGCAAAGCTAAGCTAGGCTAGGCAAAGCTAAGCTAAGATAAGCTAAGCTAAGATGAGGTTAGCTAAGCTAAGGTAAGCTAAACTCGGCTAAGCTAAGCTAACGAAGCTTAGCTAAGCTGGGTGAACCAAGAGGGCGCAACTGGGGGAACCGCGGGGCGGATACTGGGGGAACCGCCCGGGGCGCTTTCCATTGCCCGGCCCCTTTAAGCCCAGAGAGTAAGAACCCTTCTAGGCAGAGCCTAGGTAGGGAATGATGATGCAGATGATGGTGAAGCTGATGATGGTGATGATTATGATGATGATGATGCTGCGACTGCCGCTGCTGTTGGTGATGCTGACGATTATGATGATGACGATGATGATGATGATGCTGATGATGATGATGGTGATGATGGTGATGATGATGATGCTGCTGATGATGATGAGGGTAAGCAGGATGATGAGGATGATGATGATGATGAAGATGGCGACCATGATGATGATGATGATGATGATGATGATGATGATGATGATGATGATGATGATGATGATGATGATGATGATGATGATGATGATGACATCATCGTGGTGATGATGGTCCTGATGATGACCAGCAGGAAGAAGAGGAGGAAGAGGTGGAGGATGGGGGGAGGAGGAGGAGAAGGAGG